AGATTTTGTAAACATGATTTACAACAGAATTCAAAGTAACTGCATCTGGACCTCAAATCTAGATATTAGTTAAAGTGGAATTTTTTAGTGTTGTTGTTGGAATTTTTTAAACAAAAATTGAAGCCATTGTGCCCAATAAATGTATCTGACTGTTTATAAATGTACGATGTTTGGTCATGATTGTATATGACTGTTTATAAATGTACCATGTCTGTATGTGAGTTTAACATGTCGGTTTTAAGTGTACCATGTCTATATGTGAGTTTAACATGTCGGTTTTAAGTGTACCATGTCTATATGTGAGTTTAACATGTCGGTTTTAAATGTACCATGTCTGGATGTGAGATGTCGGTTTAACGGAGTTTAACATGTCGGTTTAAGTGTACCATGTCTGGATGTGAGTTTAACATGTCGGTTTTAAATGTCGGTTTTGTACCATATCTATATGTGAGTTTAACGTGTCGGTTTTAAATGTACCATGTCTGGATGTGAGTTTAACATGTCGGTTTTAAGTGTACCATATCTATATGTGAGTTTAACGTGTCGGTTTTAAATGTACCATATCTGTATGTGAGTTTAACGTCTCGGTTTTAAATGTACCATGTCTGTATGTGAGTTTAACGTCTCGGTTTTAAATGTACCATGTCTGAGTTTAACATGTCGGAGTTTAACGTGAGTTTCGGTTTTAAATGTATGTCCATGTCGGTTTAAAGTGTCATGTCTATATGTGAGTTTAACGTGTCGGTTTTAATGTACCATGTCATGTGAGTTTAACGTGTCGGTTTTAAATGTACCATGTCTGGATGTGAGTTTAAATGTCGTACCATATCTATAGGTGAGTTTAACGTGTCGGTTTTAAATGTACCATGTCGGTTTTAAATGTATATGGATGTGTCGGTTTTAAATGTACCATGTCTGGATGTGAGTTTAACGTGTCGGTTTTAAATGTACCATGTCTATATGTGAGTTTAACATGTCGGTTTAAAATGTACCATGTCTGGATGTGAGGACGGGTCGGTTTTAAATGTACGATGTCAGGATGTGATCCGTTACGACAAGCATGGGTTACTGAAGGTTCATTCTAACCCGGACCTTCACGGGTCGATGATCCGTCAGAAAGACTAAAATACGTTGTATAGAAAACAGTGGGAGTTAATGAGTTCAATATCAGCACACACAAACGGGTAAATGAACTGAATGTATGCATACACGACTGGGTTAATTAGTTGAAGATACGCGTCGTGGCCGATGAGCTTGTATTTTAAGAAAACGTACAACGGTGGCCAGCCATGCTGATCCTGCACATGAAGACGTCGATTGAGTTTGAGGTATTCGCTAGGGAAATCGCGGTGTACTTTGAACTGTGTTCCTTCTCTACTGGTTATCATTGAAGTGAATATGATTAACTGGAGGTGGAAATAACTCTCCACAAGTGTGCGAAACGTTCTAGAACTGATCTCTGAACTTTATCCACTTTACCTAAATCTGTTTAATGAAAACAGTTTAAAAAATTCGAATAAAGAGCTAAATTTCAATTTTCTGTCCATGGCGCGTGATGGTATATATTCGTGTGGTTTCATGTACAGAATCGTCACGAATTGCACAAAAAGAGATTGCAAAGTATTTGTGGGGACTGTCAGCGACATAGGGCATGAGGAAATTAAGTACCACTGACGGTTGTGCCACAGGGCATCCTAACGGTTTTGAAATGAGATCAAGTCTGAGTGAGGAAGATGAGGAAGTGACCGAGACCCGCCTGCCCCAGTACACTGCCCGTCAGCCACATGTCAGGGGTGGGGTGGGTGGTGGTGGTGGTGGTGGTGGTGGGGCTAGCCTAGTGGTTAAAGCGTTTGATCGTCACGCCGATGACCCGGGTTCGATTCCCTACATGGTTACAATAAATCCCTGCGTACAACATGTACATAATCTATTGCATCGTCTCCCAGTATTAATCATCTAGGGAAGTTCACCTGACCTCAACAAACATAAAAGTCGTATGTATAAAAAGTCTTCAGTCTTCTGAACGGTAAGGGGCGGTGGGGTAGTCTAGTGGTTAAAGCGTTCGCTCATCACGCCGAAGACCCGGGTTCGATTCCCATATGGGTACAATTTGTGAAGCCCATTTCTGGTGTCCCCCGTCTTGATATTGCTGGAATATTGCTGAAAGCGGCGTAAAACTATACTCACTCACTCAAAAATATCAACTATCAAGGTGCAGAGAAGACAGGACGTTTTGAAGAGAAAACTGCACACCGCACTGAGTGTGATGTGATACCATACGGTGCGTAACGTGTTTTGAAATTAACTTAATGAATCAGCGATCAGTGTTTGAATATTGATTTTAAAGTATGCATTGTAACCATTATATTCACAAATATATGCATTTGTAACTTATTTCTATTGAGTGTAGTAAATATTCGGGATAACATGCATATTGCCTGTGAAAAATAATTGAAATTTAATCTGGAAAATATCAGTTTGTTGCTTTTTGTTTATTACCCATGTGCATGGCTTCACTTGTGAAAACACATGCACTTCTGATTGTTTAGGTCAACTGGACGGGGAATAATCGCTGGAGTTGTATGATCCCCAGGGAGTTGAGATTGATAATACGGCGTGCCGTTGAGATTGACATCCAGTGATCGAGGGAAAAACAAAGCGCCTTTGAACAGTTGAGCTGGATATCGGCAAAGATGGATATCGGAGCTATACAAATGTTATCATCACCATCATCATCATCATCATAATAATAATAATAATAATAATAATAATAATAATAAAACTTCTTGTGCAGAAAATGATTTTGGAAGAGGCAAAAACATATCACCGCAACCTCTCCATGTGCTGGATTGACTACAAAAGGCATACGACTCTAACCCTCACGAATGGATTCTGAAGTCTCTTCATTGTATTGACCTCCCATACCAATTTGAAAAGAGCAGGTTCTCCTTGTCGAGTCCTTTTCGAATGATATTGGCATGACATTTGGACTCGACAAATGTAATACTCTTCATTTGAAACGAGGCAAGGTAACTAATGATGGATCGGTCAAGTTACAAGGGGGAGGAGTTATTGAGCATCTTGTGGAAGATCAGGCCTACACCTATCTTGGAATGCAAGTTCGAGACAAGCTCCAGAATGCCCAGATTCAAGACAAACTTCGGGCCGAGTATAAATCTCGTTTAAAGAAAATCTGGAGCTCAGAGCTAAATGCTCGAAACAAGGTCAAAGCCACCAATACTTTTGCTGTGCCAGTCCTTTCCTATTCCTTTGGAGTAGTTGATTGGACAAAACAAGAGTCTTGACCGCCTGACCAGAAGGATCATCTCTGATAACAGAGCCCACCACCCTCTTTCCTCTCTTAACCGTTTATATATGCCAATCAACTCTGGAGGACGGGGTTTGATTAATGTGGAGGCTATTCATGATAGAATTTTATTGTGTACTTTTGCACATATTTATTTATCGGATGATCCTCTGGTGATGCATATCAACACTCATGATGAAAGCAAGGAATTCCACAGCTATTTTAAGCGTGCCAAGGTTGTTGGACAGAATCTGAAATATGAGGTTGATTTTGTTGATGGCGATGTACTGCTGGACGGTACAGCGATGGGAGTAAACCAGGTGAAGTCCTTCACCAAGTCTGCCCAGAGTCGGTCTTTTGTGGAGAAGCTTTCTGAGAAGCCATTGCATCGTGTGTACATGCAGTGTGTTGAACAGAATAGCAATCCCACCGACTCCTTCGCCTGGATGAAGTCGGCTGGTCTCAAATGTGAAACTGAGGGCTTCCTTTTTGCTGCTCAGGACCAGTCACTTCCCACTCGTAATCGCCAAAATGTGATTCTTAAAGAAAATATCAATATGAAATGTCGACTGTGTAATACATTTACAGAGACTGTCCAATACCTTGTCAGTGGATGCCCTTCCTTGGCGAAAAAAGCATGCCTTAAGAGACATGATGGCATGGCTCGCTGTTTTTACTACCTGTGGCTTTGACTCCGAAGTCCATCCATTGTACGACCCTGAACATGTCCAGGGCGTCATGGAAAATGATGCTTTCAAACTTCTGTGAAACAGGCCCATATACAGCCTTAGAAGAATTGCTGCCAACAAACCTGATCTTGTGCTTTTTGATAAAGCCAATGAATTTATTTATATCATTGAATACTCTGTCCCTTTTGACAACAATGTGATTGGCAAGATTCAGGCAAAAGCATGATAAGTACGCGGACCTCGCCTTTGAAATGTCTCGCTTGCATCCCAAGTACACTGTCGTCAGGCTCCCCATTGTTCTCGGTGCCCTTGGTTTGGCACCTCCTGATCTCTTGAGAGTGACCGGGTTCTCCACCGGGAGCACAGCCCTTCTGACACTCTGGGTAATGCAGAAGGCTGCAGTGTTGAGGAGCCTTCATATTCTCTGGAAAGTTCTTGGTGGGTTCGACTAGGGCAGTGTTTCCTGGGAGAAGTCCCATTCGCTGTCTGGGCTGCGTGTAGAGGGGGCGAGGGCCCTGAGCTGATGATGAGCCTTACCAGCCTGACTGTGCCAGGATCACCCAAACCCTCTCTGCTGTATTTTCATCTTAATCTGTAAAACATAATAATAACTTCGCGGCACTATGCGAGGGACTGATGCGGCGTTAAGCAATATTCATTCACTCACGGATGATACACTGATGGCTCAGACAGCAGCCCATACTGTCAACAACCCATACTGGTCTCAACCGACAATCGATTTTTCAGTATTTTACATGTTGCTTTAATATTGCTGACTCGATTTGCTTTAGCTCGCAGGCCCATTATTGTACTGATGCATATTACATGAATATGATGTTCATTATTATCATACATTTGTCAGTGAACGTTTTCAATCTCGTTGTTTTATTAAAGCAATATAAACCCGCATCATGTCGAGCCTGCAATACAATAAGCTGGGAAATCATGATATAATGATAACCGAGCGTCATCGCTGTATTAAATAGCTACATATGCCATCTTACCTTTGAGGATACGGCGGAAAGACTTGAAGCCTGCATTGGCCTAGTTTTCTGAACACGGGACAACAAGGCTATCCGACATGACGAGCGAGTTTTTCACCAGTTAGCGAGGGTGAGTGTTCGGTGTCAATACTCCGAGTTCGATTGTATCTGGGTGCCACATATGCTTGTGACGGTGTGTACACGGTATGAACATGGAAACATACGACAAGTTTCACCGGCAGAAAGAAGTAACTCTCTGATTTCCCTGATGGTTTAAATAACAATAAATGCACCTAACAGCATATGTACATCGTTATGGCGCATTATGCTTGTGAAGCATGCATTGTATTGATTATACATATATCTTGTCAATTTCATCTCTATATGTATTGTGTAGTTACTGTGTGTAGAATGAATGACACTGCCTGTATTTCATTTCGCTGTTGTTGCAACAGAAACCCGTGCTACAGTGTACAGTCTTTCATCAATATGGACTATACGGAATTTAGTGAAGGAACCCGAGTGTGACGAGCCAACGCTTCTACGACTTAGATAACTAGACTTTCTTTGACCTTCCGTATTGATAACATATAAGTCATGGAATGAACATATTTAACATCTACGACCATCTCTCTCACAAACACTTGACTCAGGATATGACGTGACTTGCAGTGTACTAGGACTTAATAGGATACGTCAACTATTGACACGATAAGTTGAGTAAAGCGGTATCGAGTGAGTCAGTGAGTGAGTGAGTGAGTACAATGGATTAATCACCACTTTGAACAATATTCAAGTTTTATCTCCAAGAGCATTCACGATGTGTGAGATGTGATGCACATCCTGATGGATATGGAAGTTTTTGTGTTTGTTTGTAGTTTAACGCTACACTTAGCAATATTCAAACTATATTCTGTAAATAATCGAGTCTGGACCACACAATCCAGTGATCAACAGCATGGGCACCGATCTACGCAATAGGGATACGATGACATATGTCAACCAAATCAGCGAGCCTGACTACCCGATCCCGTTAGTCGCCACTTACGACACGCATGCATATGTTGATGAAGACGAATTCTTCACGGGTGCGGAAAAACAAATACGACACCAGGCGCTCGCGGAAAGGCCCTGAATAACCTCCCCCTTCTTCCTCTTCCTCCCCCATCCACGAACCACCCACGCCCAAGCAGCACCCCGGATCAGTAAGCCCTTATTAGTTCTGTATTCACAATCTGTCATTAAACTATGTTTCCACGGTTGACGCTTTATGGGGCACATCTTGCCATGTATTGAACCGGTATTGTTTCTCCGCCATGACTGAACACAGGCAGTACTGTACATGTGTATACAGCAACACAATGACGTTTCGTCATGCTTCTGGCAATCAATAAATCATGTTTTCAAGTTTACATTATATACAGGCGATTCTTCAATACCAATTCAATATTTGTTATAACAATTTATGGTGCACATGTTCTTGTAGATAGAAGGACGTTTGGGTGGCCTAGTGGTTAAAGCGTTCGCTCGTCACGCCGGAGATCCGGGTTTGATTCCCCAGATGGGTACTATGTATGAAGCCTATTTCCGGTTTCCCCCGCCGTGATATTGCTGGAATATTGCTAAAGGCGGCGTAAAACCATACTCACCCACTCACTCTTGCAGATAGTTTCACGTTACTTATATGTACAAAGTCGGATGATAAAATCAAGCACTGTTCTTGTGATTATATACTACATAGGCACACCCTTCACATATGAATGATGACGTTTTTGTGAAATCAAGAATTGGCTGCACAATATCACATAACCTTACTCATACATAATGCCCATACGCGTTTAAAACACACACATTGACCTTGTAATGAACTTGAACCTGACATAATGACCTTGACCCGTAGCCTACATAATGTCCTTGACCCGTTGCCTACACAAAAATAGACCTTGATCTCGAAAAGTAATAATAAAAAACCCTTAATATTTCTCAACTCAAGTATCGATAATACGTTATTTGTATTGACATACATAGTCCGTCCATTGGTTTAAACAATATTTCACTTTCAACAGTCCTGGAGAGCTACCCACGCTGAGGGCATGTATGTCTCGGCTCGGATGACCATTACGCCAACACCATAACCTCCACAGAGTTCACCGCCATCTGTATGGGCGGTTGATGGTGGGACTATTGACGGACTGTTTATGTGCCATTGTACCAACGTTGCAAGACGACGTCGTAAAAGCCCACTTAACGCTGAAAGGAAACATGGCGCCGGAGCAGTTATACAGCCGTGAAGCAACAGATGGCCTGCCTGAATTGATAACTGAGCAGCTATGAAGCAGATGATAGAAGTACCGGTATAGGTATGAAAACCTCACATTTGTTTTTATGCTCTTTATATTTAGATCTTAGTGCTAAGGTGACCGTCATTCCCACACTTAGAGATAGATTTAATGGCTGTCATGACACTAATATTGCTTTGTAGACCTTTCCATAGAGCGGTCGAAAGTGTACGCCTGTTTGCGTTAACCACATAGGTACAATGTGGCGTAAAATCGGCGCAAAATCATACTAACTCACTTGTCTGTTATTTATTGGGAGTGAAGCCCATTTCTGGTGTCCCCCGCCGTGATGTTGCTGGAATATTGCTAAAGGCGGCGTAAAACCAAACTCAGTCAGAAAGTCAGTTAATTATTGGGGGAATGGTCTTTCTAATCCAATCGTATTTATTTTGCTAATAATATTCTAGTGTGTTCCCCTTCACGAAAGGCGATCGCAGCGTTAGACTGTCGGAGGTCACGTTATAATTTGACAAGTAAGATTTTCTTAGCAATAAGACCGTGTTGTGGAACGGAATTCAAACACAGAATCTCGTCACCCAAATATCTCGTAGCCAGCTGTAATTTACATATACTGACATAGAATTAAGCTAGTGTTACTGTTAACACTGATTCTTACATCCATCTAAAATTTGTGAATCTGTTGAAAATTATTTATGTATGTTTACCGTTCAGAAAACTGAAGACCTTTATGTTTGTTGAGTGCAGATCAACTTCCCTAGATGATTAATATTGGGAGACGATGTGGCATTGCCCGCTGTTATATATTATGTCTATTTTGTACGCAGGGATGAATAGAAGAGTGAGTGAGTTTAGGTTTACGCCGCACTCAGCAATATTCCAGCTATATGGCGGCGGTCTGTAAATAATCGGATCTGGACCAGACAATCCAGTGATGAACGTATAGAAGAAGAATACCACTTTGTGTTAAAGTTTCCATTCTATTCACATCTTAGGCTAAAACATATACCAAGGCATTATTTTATTAACTGTAATTCTAGGATTTTGACTTGTAACAGAAAGTCTATTTTGTTCAATGTTGCAAAATTTGTTAGAGAGGCTTTAAGTTTACAAAATGTCAAAAACTAGTAGCCTTTTTTATTGTATTTCTATTATATTATTGTATATGGGCTGACAACCTTTATACTGGTAAACAGCATTGAACTGACAATCATCATTATAGTGGCGTGAAACTGTAAGAAAGGTAACTAAAAGTCGTTTACCTATGCACTCTACAGTCCTTAACTTCATATTCTTAAGACCTTGGCTCAACTTTCAGTACATTCCCATGCTTTAACACAGGCTTACGGTTATCATGGCCAGAACATCTAACACAACACAACCAATAGGCCATGCTGCTGACCAGTTATGAACAATCGAGAATTTGATGACATGGAAATGTCATGACCCGCAGATTTCATACGACTGTGTGGTTATAGCGTCTCTGCTCGGAAGGGAACTACAGGCACGATTGACACAGTCTGTTTAGGCGCCGCAATTCGCTGTGCAGAGATGGGTCCCTTTGAAACACCAGAAGCCCATGATCATGTGTGGAATACCAGTTGGCCCCGATGTTTCTAGGTGTAGCGGCCTTAAAATTTCCGAGTTCCCTGCTGGGATTCAAATCACGGACCTTCTGATCCGAAGTCGGACGCCTTGTCCACATGACCAAAGAGGTTAACCCCGTCAGCAAGCTGACAAGGTAAGGATGCCACGCCCTGCTAAATAGTAGTGCTGGTATTGGCACACAACCTGCGATACAATACATCACGATACTAAAATATATTGCCAAAGTATTGTGCACTAAAACTACGATACAATACGATACAAATCCCGATATAAGGGTGGCGATACGATACGTATCACGATACTAAAATCTTTAATTCTAACACCAGCTATAAATCCATTTTAAAGTAGTTCGTCAAATTCCGCCAGCTTTTTTCAATGTTTATTCGGACACGAGATCATTAAGTTTTTACTTTGTGAATGTTATTAACATGCGAGCGCTATGTCTGACATAGTTCTTGGCGCAAAAATTTCCGAGAAAACGTTTATTTATGAAGGGAAAATAAGTAAGCATATATTTTAATCATCAAACAAAAGTAAGTCTTTTTCTTGACAGATATGGCAATTCTGCAATATTCAAAGTTAAACATCGATGTATCGTGGCCCATTCGAAGTCTCGTATCGGGATATACGACAATGTAAAACTTTGTATCGATTCACTGTATCGACGGCCCATGGATCGATTCATCGATGCGTATCGATGAATCGTCACACAAATACTACATAGGCATCGTGTTTCTCTGAAGTGGGAAAAGTCTGAGACGTGCATAAATTCTGGCTTTCCTCCAATTGGACGCCACACCACTATATAACTAGAATGCAAAGTAAAACCCAACTCACTAACTCAATGAGTGGAATATCACATGAATTCAGTTCAACATCATAATGCTGCAACCATGACTTCTAAATATTAGCGACCCGTGAAGATCCGGGTTAGAACTGATCTTCAGTAAGCCATGCTTGGCGACGAACGTGATGGTTGACACATGTCATCATATCCCAATTGCGTAGATCGATGCTCGTGATGTTGATCACTAGATTGTATGGTTCAGACTCGATTATTTACCGCCCACCGCGATATAGCTGGAATATTGAGGAGTGAGGCGTTAAACAACAAACCAACCAACCAACCAACCAATCTGAATATTAGCAAATTATCTATACACAGACAAGGAATCAAAACAGACAACGAGCGTCCTCAAATAGCTGTATCATGAACATATTTTTGAATATACTCTGTTCCCGTCACAGCTTGTATGGCTGAACAATGTCCCTGATCCACTTCCGATGTGGTGTAATTCTACCCGCCCCTGTACAGCTTAGTGCTGTTAGGGAAACATCGTGCTTATATCGGTAGACCATTGGCA